TTGGAAACAACTTCTATGCCTTGTTTTATCTTCATTTCCTCAAAGCAAATTAATTTGATTACATTGTGGAGCAAAATGCTGGAAATGCCCTTTTTTAAAATATATGGAAAGTAAAGTAAATAGAAAGCAAGCATGTGTTCCTTTTTATTGTATTTTTATGGAGGTTATAACCAGAGTTATTTTCCTCCAGATTTAATCTGAGTTCTTCTAAGCAGTTACTCTTATGGAGTTAGTATGGACCAGATCCAAAGTTGTTCAAGTAAAATAGCAAGATTTCCAGTGATTTTAGTGTTCTTTTGATCAGGCCCTTAATCTTTTAGAAAATGTTAAGCTTAATGGGACTATTGTGCTGATGGAATTCTCTTTTGTGCCTAAAGGAGGAGAAGGTGGAGATTTACTAAGTGTCCCTAAGTATTGTTTTACTTCATTGTCATTCTGTTCCCTTTCCAGCTGTTTTTGTATATAAAAAGTTAAAGTAAATCCCTTTCTAAAGGTTTGCTATTGTGTTAAGGTACTTAAAGTTTAATGACTTTGAGTCAAAGAGCTTTTATGAAAGAAGATTTGTCCAGGCATATCCTGTAATAAACATCTGGAAACTGCAGGGGTTGGCCTATGGTGGCTATAGAGCAAGAATACAGTTTAACTAGCTGGCTTTATATCAGGATTAATTTTCCCCTTGTTTTCTTTGTTTTTTGTGGGATTTTTTTTGTGTGTTTATTTTTTTTTTTTTTTGTGGTTGGGTAGTAGGTTGGTTGGGGTTTTTTCTGTTTTCTTTTTTTGCTTTTTTGGGGTTTTTTTTGGTTTTTTTTTTTTTTTTTGGTTGGTTGGTTGGGATTGAGTTTTTTTGTTTGGTTGGATTTTTTTTCAATTTTGTCTATTCACTTATATATTTTTTAATCTGAATATATATATGTCCTATCTTGGTCAAATGGTCTTAAATAGTCTTGTAATTGGTAGCCAGCAGAAAACTCCTCAGCTGGGATTGATGCTGGGAGGGCTGTATGAAAGCAGATTACATCTCTGCATGGTATTCACTGATTAAGTGTTTGAAGAGCAAAGTTTCTCATCTCTGAAGACAATTTCCTTTAGTACAAAATATACAGGAAAATGGGTATTTCTAGATTAGTCAAAAGAAAAAGCTGCCACAGAGGTAATAGGCATCATTTGTATGTGGGCCAGAAGTTTAATTAGGATTTAGCAAAACAGAAAACATATCCCATCTGATACAAACCAGAAGTGAAAGCCCTTAAACACTTTGTTGTGGGGAGGGAATTTAAGGGTTTTTACAAAATGGAAAGACAATGAATAGTTTCAGTAGTAATAATGAGGATGAGAAAAAATTGCAGAAAATATCATAAAAAAATAAAGAAATAGAAGTTTGCAAAAGTCTCAGAGGGAAAATTAGGTAAGGAAAGTTCTAGCAAATAAGAAATAGAAAATGAAGTAGTAATTCCTTTGCTACATTTATAGTCCTGTGAATGAACAAGCAAAACCAAAATCCATATTTTAGATTTGATGATGCTGAACGGTAATGATCTGTAATGGCAGGAGTCAACATCAGAGTTCTCAGATGACAATAGGAGGCTTTAGAAAATAATTTTAAGTGTATGACTTAATCAGTAATTCTTAGAGAATTATTATCACTGACAGTCCAGGAACAGATTAATTGAGTGGATGTGCAGAAATAAAGTTATCATCTGCCCAATTTAGCTGCACTTACCTAAAGTGTAGCTTGACTCTTGCAGACGAAATGGGGCTAGGTCAGTCAGGGTGGAAGTGAGTGGAGTGAGTCAGCCCTTTGACAGAGGCACAAACCTGGATTCAGTCTTTTGACAATGGAAACAGCATTTCCTTGTGCCAGCTGTGCTTTCTGAAACCAAGAAAGGTTTACTAGAAGCACAGCACCACCAGGAGTACCATGGAGAAGATGCTGACCAAGGACACTGGTTCACCTCAGGACCTCATCCTCTCTCACAACTCCCCTGTGACTATTCGCCACAGGCCTTCCAGCAAAAGGAAGATTTTAATTGCTTTGAGGAGGAAGGAGAAAAATAAAGATGGAAATGAGAAGTGCAAGGGCTTACAGATACTTGCAGGTATTCACAGTAAGTGCCTTTGTTCAAAAAGTCCCCAGTCCTGTTTGAGTATGAAGGAGGAAAAAATTTGCTTCTGAGGCATTTAAAACTAATTTTGTTCTCATGTGTGAGAAGATAATCTGTGATGCTTATTGAACTGTTTCGTTTTAATTGTGTATGTTAAAATATGTTTAGCATACAGGACGGTCTAGATTTAGCCCTTGGAAATTTTATTTTATTGCTCTGTGTATTTCACCTGTACTTCCAATCTGTAAAACATGTAGATTATGAGCTGCAAGCAAAGTTTCATTGTATTCCTCGCTGTGTTTACCTCTGTTTTTTTCTGAAGAGGCCTGCCTTAAGAGGCCACACTTTCTAAATCCATAGACTTATTAGCCCAAACTGCTAATAAATGCCAACTAATATTAATTACGGTGTTGGCGTGTGGTTCACATTAGGCACAGCAGGATTACTTTTAGAACCAGAGTGGATGCAGTGTGTTACAGCAGTATGAGAAGGTAGTGGGTCTTCTCAAGTAAGGGTCATCTATAAATAAAATTTCTCAGAACTAGAACCATTGTGCATTTTGAAGTTAATCAGTGCTCATATGGAGTATCTCCTCCCATCATCAATCTTTTAACAGAAAAGAGTGCAGGGAAAACCCATGCACAGGCATCATCTAAGTTTGGGTTGTGTTTACCATGTGCAACCCATGAATGCATGCTTTTATTTATATCCAGATTCTATAGTGGGAGAAAACTGCAAAAGTCATTAACAATGCCCTCTTTCCTTTCTCCCAGCATAATTCAGATGGGATTATGGGAGTGCTCAGGTGAGTTCACTGCTCTGAGCATGTGGGGATCTGCAATTCCCTTGTTGTTTCTACTTTCCCCTTCTGTTTTACTGGTGTCCTTCTAAGGCATTTTCTTTTTCCTTCCAACTTTCCAAATGTGATTGTGCTATCATTTTAGTATGTTCAGAGGTGACTTCAGACTTATGTGGTTTGTGTTCTCCTCTCTTTGATGGCTTGACAGGTTATATGGAACCTACTTGTAAACACAAGCGCTTAAATCAAGTGCCCTAGGTTAGCCAGGGGGGAATGGGCCTTGAGTCCTCTACCACAGGCTCCCAGGTGCTAGACCAGACTTAATACAAGCCTCAGATTTGATGACTCTAAGTATTTTAATTACATGGATATATGCTGTAGCATCACATTCTTCAGAAAATTTAATATTTAAAATCAATTGATTCAGACAATTATTTTCATTAATGAAAAAAAAATTCCAAAATACCTGTTTGAAACTGACTGGAATGAAGTTTAGTTCTGGTTTTCATAGTTCCTGCAGCAATGTGAAATAGTGGAGTTCAGTTTAATTGACCATGCACAATGTATTTGCACGTTGCTAATTTCAAAATCCAAGGCTTAATGTTAAAGTTAGAATTTGAATGACATAAATAGACAAATACCAATTTTTTATATACACCAAACTTTTCACTTGCTATGATGCTAATGCTTAGATACCTTATTTAATGATAGTTAATACAGTGATACTGATTTTGTTCCTGCTGTGTTCATTATTAACCCCAGAAGGCAATGGAAATTTTATTAGACTCAGTACGGGATATTAATACTGTGCCTGACTACGTTGTGAAAAAAAATGAAGAAGGAGCCTGAAAATATTTGTAAGTTAATTGCCTGACTTGGAAACCACTAATGTACATGAATAACGTTTACTCACAGAGATTGTCTCGGTAAATTCCAAATCTGTCCAATGAATAGTTGTCAAATAAGGCCATAAATCACACCTTTATGAAAAGTTTAAGAAATCTTAATGAAAAGGCACCCTCAAGGTATTATGGAAACTTGAGAAGTTTTCATGAACAATATTTTAAGGTCATATATAATTAAATAAAGGAACCAGTCAAAGTTTAAAAATAAAGAACCAGAAGTTGAGCTTAGTTTGCCTGTATTAAAAAAAATAAACCTGGAGCAGCCATCAACTCATGGTAGCTATTTATATAGTACCTGATAACAGCAGCCACCATGTCCATGTTCCTTCAAACCTGGTACACCATACTCAGTGGCTGAGTTACACATGCCTGCACATGGGTTTTCATTTATTTTTGTGTCTGGCCAGTGTTGCAGCGGAATCAGTGGGTGGGCAATCACCCATGCCATGAAGGAGTCTGGCACTCAACTTTCACATGGGAAGCAATATGGGGACAAATGTTGTTGGGGCCTGACTTATGGCTAAGTGAAAATGGTCCACCAGGGTTTCAGCTGTGCATTGTTTAGCTGAACATTGAGTTGGGATAATGTCACTAGAGTAGGGGAAAAATCACAATTTGATGGCCAAACAAAATTCTTGTCTCAGAGAAGGTGATTTCCTATATCACCAGCATGTCCTATATCATCAGTCCCTGTCTGGGATGATTAATTGGGGTGCATATAGCCAGGTGCAAAGAATCTGCAAATTTAGTGGGAAGCCTGGGAAGTCAATAGTCATGGCCAAGGGAGTCTTCCAGGAGGGTGACTATGCATTGGAGGATGCAGCTGCAAAGCATACAGTATCTTTGCAGCAGCCTGTGTGCAGCTGCAGTTCTTTGTGGATCCTAGTGTAGTGAGAGAGCTGCATCCCAGTGGCCCTAGGGAATAGAAGGGGATAAATGTTGTCTTTGAGCACGGATAGTTTTTCTTGTGACCTGAGGTGGACCTCTCCAGCCCTATTCTGAGTGCTCAAAACTTTTCAGCACTAATGCACATTGCATCCCAGATTCCAGGAGTTTCTGTGTGGCCAGGGAGGATGAGTTGACCACCAGTACAACAGCTTGGGGTCCCCACTGGGGCTGCCCTGCTAATGCTGAAGCCAAATGTGGGTGAGGCTGTGTGTTGGCCAGTTCCATGCAGGCCTGTGTCCCATGATGTCACAGCAGGACACCCACAGCGACAGCTCCTGCTCCAGTGTCCCTGCACCTGTCTCTGGAGGGGCCTGGGTGACCCTGGTACTGCTGTCACCAGCACTCTGTGTGCAGAAGCTGTCCTGCTGCCAGGAAGTGAAAGGAGGCTGTGGCAGGGCATTGGAGATACCGCTTGAGAAGTGTTAAGGGGGAGGAGAGGAGCAGAGGCTATTTGTAGCAGGAAAAGTACCTCTTCCCCAGCTGTTGCAGTGCAACGGGGCAAAGATGCAGAAGTACCTGCTCTATAACTCTGTGGAGCCAGAGGAGCTCCCAACCCTCAGGGAGCTCAGCACTGTGGGTAAGGCCCTAGGGGTCCCTTGCAGGAGCACTGTCAGTGCCAGGATTACATGGAGACAAGCTGTGGAAAGCCCGAGGCGGGGGTCAAAGGTGGGACTCTTCTGGAGGGTACAGACTGCTGCAAGGGGGGCCTGCTTTGTTGTGCCTTGGAGCTCGAAGGTGCCTTTGGTAGCTGTGATGTCCCACCCTTAAGAAGGGAGCACTCAAGATTCATAGATTCTTGTGGTAGAAGTGATGTCTAAAGATCACTTGCTTTTTATGTATTTTTCATATATTCATAGATCTATAGATTACTATTACATATTTATATAGCTATATATATTATATAGCTATATAGTATTTGTCCTACCCTCTCTTTTAGATTTTAGAGTAATAAACTGACCATATAAAAGACTCCTGAAATACTGCTTAGTCTTATTTTTCAAAAAGAAAACCTGGAAGTACATTTTGTTTTCCAATCAGAATCTGAGAAGACACAACAAGAAGTGGAGAAAAGAAGCCCTGGGCCAACTCCAGTGGGGCAGTATCTGAGGAAAAATTACCTAACCAACTGCTCTTCTAATTGGACAAAGTTTGTTGGATATTATCATTTATTAAACTTACAAAATTATAGAAATCTGATGCCAGGTGTGTCCATGACTAGCGAGACACCTGGAAGCTTCCAAATAAAGGCCTGCTTTTTACTGTACTAGTTTATCAGTGTTGCAAGGGTTTTTCTCTTATGATATCAGGCAACAGCAGGGAACCACAAAAATCAGAGGGTCCACAAAACCTCACCAAATTTTAGTGAAAAAATTACACAGTTGGCATGGAAATGTCTATGTTAGTCCCTGACTTACTGCTATATAAGTACATGGATCCAAGTCCAGGGTCCTGGGGGCTCTGACCAGGCTTGGTAGGGGTACCTTTTTATAGACAGGTTTCTTGCTTTCTGCATGTATTAGTTATCATGTGCAGTCTGTTTTTTCACGCCATTTGGGAAATTGGGCTTTGGGGGTCTTTGGTGGTCTTGATCCCCCTCTACAGTCTATATCCATTTCTTGGCCTTGCACTGTACTGTGTTGTGCTTATCTCCAGGATTTAGAACAAGGATATTTGTCCCAGAGAAGTGCTGCTCTGATTCCACATGGCCCTCTTCTTCAGCTCCCTTTTGTCCTTTCCCACAGAGTGTTAATACCAACAATCCTTGGTTATTACCCACAGTCACTGTTTGTTGTTACCAACAGCCCTCGGTTAGCTCCGCAGCCATCCAGCTGTGGGTGTTTTAGACATACACATTAGACCCATCTGGGAATCCACTGCAGCCCAGGCCTCCAGGCACTAAGCAGTGTCTAGAAGTGGAAATCACCTTTTCAAAACTACAGCCTGGCCTTCCTCTCCTGGCCTGTCTTGGACATAGGGCAGGCTTTGAGCCTGGGGGCAGTCAAGAACGCAGCTGGGCAGCCCCAGTCAGTGAGAGTGCTTATTCATGGCAAGGGGGAGCTTGAGAGCACTCCACTGTCACCTGCATGGGTAGGGGCATGGAGCATGCTGACCTGTGCTAACATCAGAACATGGTATGGCTTTCATTTGCTTTCCAGAAATCTGCAAAATCTGGTCTGGAATATCTCGGCAGATCTACAGAAAGCTCTTGCAGAAGAAGGTGAGTCCTGCCTTCTGCATGTGCCTCATCCTGCCCGTCTGGGGCTCCGGAGCAGGGCCCAAAGTGCCATTCCCAGGGCCATGCAAGTCATCTGGAAGCCTCCTTACCTTTGGGCAGCCCTGCCAACACTTCCTTTTGTTTGTGTTTTCAGGCAGTGGAGATTGGAGTTGGGAGTTTTGCAGTTGTCCCAGTGCATGCCAATGTGGCAGAGGGCAAAGTTTTGCCCGTTGAGAGACCTATGTTCATTCTGAGCAAGTCTCTGAAGCTGTTTTACAACCTTGAAAGTGATGAGACCAAAATTCCTGGTAAGAAGATGGGATCCTTTCCTTGCACAGGCCTTGGATTTTGGCTTAGTGTCAACACCACTAATATAGCAAAGACTCTTCCAACCTGCAAAGTGCTGAGTGTGGGCACAGATGTGGTAGCCTAGAACCCTGCTCCTCCCTGAGGAGACAGCCTCATCTGCTCAGCTCCCCTATGCTCCAGCTGGTTGCTTACAGCAGGAGACAAAGCTTTGCTAGGCCTTTCCTGTCCACTGTGTCCATTCTGGAGATATGGATGAAGCTGAAAGGGGTGCACTGTCTGGCAGTGTTGTCTGAGAGCTGGGCACTGATGACCTCTAGTTTCTGAGTTGGCTAAACTGAGGTGAGAGAGAAAATTTGTGCTTGTTTCCTAGATGAGACAGCTGTTGTTCATCTAGACTTGGAAGAGATTGCTGCAAACATCCACTTTCGCCATGAAATTGTGGAGCAGTGTGTACAGGAGACCCTCCTTTGCTTTGCTGGGGCCCTCCGAGACAACAAAGAGGTGGAATTCTCATTCAGGAGCATTGGTATCCTTGCTGTGCGAGCAAAAGTGGTCAGCATGGCCTTCTTTGATAGCTGCCTGCTGGAGCTGGATACAACAGGAAACATGCTGAAAGCCCTGCTTGAGGTGATCTTGTCATTTCTGTGGCATTCCTCCTCTTGGATTTGTGGCAATGTGCTGCCAAAACTTTCTAGCTGCCTTGTCTGGGCGGCTGTCACCTGCCTCATCACCCAGCCTAGGCACACTCCCAATAAGTTAGTTCAGGTTTCAGGAGTGCCTCAGCCCCTCTGAGGGAGGGGCTAATGGCATCAAGGGAGTAGGTGTGTGAGGCTTTCTGAGAAGCAGCATGAAGGTGATTTGCCACCTTTCTGAGCAACCAGCACATGTTCTGGATTTCTGCTGACGTACTGCTGTTCCCTTCCAGGACCCCAACATGATGAGCATTGTTGCCTTTCCAGGCCAAAACGATTTTACTCGGGTTAGTCAAGATGAGGTTCTCGTACTGCCAAGGTGAGCAGGATGGCTTCTACAGCCCTCAGCTCGTCAAGCATCTGCTCAGCCATTGTTTTGGGGGTACCCTCCTGCTGAGGCTCCTTTCCAGCCAAACTTGGTCAAGAGCAGCCACTTCATAGGAGAGCTTCCCTCTCTGCTGCTCACTCCTGCCTGGTTTTGGAGATTGCAGATGAAGTGGCCATTCTTCTTTCAATGTGCCCTGAAAGAGGCAAGAGGGCCTGCACAGGCAGCAAGTACAGCCATGTGCATTCTGTCCTCCAAGGACTAGGCAGTGGCCTCCAAAGATATGTGCCAGAAGCTTACAATTGTCAGCCTCCAAGAGAGCCTGTTGCCTCAGCTTTACCCAGCTGGTACCTTCTTGTTTCCAGTCTTGTAGCTGAGATCCCACACCAGCCATTTGCCCCGCTGATTTCCCTGAAGCCCAGAAGACCGTCGGCGCCTTGGGGTGGGGGTTGCCGCCGAGGTATGTCCCAGCTGAGTGCTGGCAGGGACTGTGTGTGCTCTTGCCCTCCTGAGGGCAAGAGGTCTGAGGTCACTGTGGGGGAACCTATTCTGGAAGAGGCTTGGAGTTGTGGGGAGCCTCTACAACCCAATCTCCCCAGCAGGCCCCTGGGATTTCTCAGCATCTCCCAGTTCTTCCCACTGGTGGGTCCCTTCTGCTGGCAAGGTATAAGAGGGAGATGAGAAAAACCATGCCCTAGGGCGGTGGGTGGCTTGGTGGGAATTCAGCTCTGGAGCGGATCCAGTGTGGACAAAAGAAAGGGACCTGCCCAGAACTGTGACTCCTAGGAGTGGCAAGGATTGTTAGTGAGCCCTGTGTAGCATGACTGCGCAGCTCTACCACCCATGCTGTCCCACATGATCTCAAAGACCGTGTGGTCTTCTTCTCTTGCCTCTTGCTTGCAGTAAGTATACTGGATCCAGTGTTCCTGGCTCGGCGGAGGGTTTCTCAGGCCAGTCATCAGTCGATGGAAACCGATCAGGCTAGAGACAAGGAAGCTGGCCGTGGCAGGTGAGCCTTGTCGAGGAGTGTGGCTGAGGCCGTGCCCTCAGTATCGCCCTCATTATCACTTGTGATAATGGGTGATGCCTCCCTTGTCTGGGGTGCATGTGCTGATGCCAAACAGCCCTGGAGACACTGTCCTGCTGGACACGAGGACCTCCTACTGAGCCGCTGGGTGCTGCCAGAGAACAGACTGCGATCCCACCGATACAAGCTGACACTTGGCTCCCACAAGCTCAGACTGCTGGCTGTCCTTTTTAGGCACCTGTCTATAATCTGGGAGAAGACCCATATGCTACTGAAGCACCCCATATCTCCAGTTCCGGAAGGGTTGAGGGTCTCTGCAACTACTCCCGAACCCTCAGAAGTGGTAGGTACATCCTAGGGTTTTGCCAGTCCTGTGTCATGGCCTCTGGGCCAGGGCAGGAGAGGCAGCGCATGGTCCCAGCCCTGCTGCCCTGCCCAAGCTCAAGGTGGCTAACGCTGCATGTGTGGTCTGTGCATGGCCTTCAGAAAACACACCCCCTCTACACTGAGAAGGAGGAAAAAGAACTCCAGCTGCTGCTGGCATCCAAGCGCCATGAAGTGGAAGCAGAAGTGTGGCGCAAATACTTTGGCAACCGAGCGATCACTGAGCGAGGACAGGTATGGCATGCACTGCACAGCCCCCAGAGAAAGGACGCTTTGCCTTCCCTCTCAGTGTCAGAGGAGCAGGGAAGGTGTTCAAGCACAGCAATAGTGCCATGGCTGGGGGCAGACTGGGGTCTTTTGCCTGCCCACTGCCCTGCCAGAGGAGCTGTCCCTGAGGCCCCAGGCTGGAGCGTGCAGCTGGCCGTGGCGGAGGCTGTTTGTGCCCTCTCTGCGAGGGAGCAGCACCACTGCCTCCTAAGCACTGGGCCAGGCCTGCGCAAGGCACACGCTTTGGCTGAAGCTTGGGGAGAACCCTCAGCTATTGGCAGCAGTGCTTTAGGAGAGCCTCCTCTGCCTTTGCAGACCTCCTGCCCCTACGTGTTTGAGGATCCCTATCGCCCTCCCCACGTCTTGAGAAAGGCCTATGCTGAGAAGCTGAAGGAGATGGAGCAAAGCACGGCAGGGCAGAGCGCCTCAGAGCCACAGGCAGAGTGTCAGCTCTTGAGGAAAATACTGGAAGAGTAAGTGGGGAGGAACGAGGCCCTCTAGAGCAGCGGGATGGCCTCGGCAGTGCTGCTCAGTACCAGCCTGAGCCAGGCTTAGGGGCATTGGGAGCCCTTCTGCCCGGCCATAGAACTGAGGCCCTTTCTTCTGTTCCCTTTAGCAAGGGTGTGCAGACAGGTCTGTTGGAACACTGAGGACAAGGCCCAGCAGCTGCTAGCCCTGCCAAGAAGCTGCAAGCAGCCCTTCAGAGGTGGTTGTCACAGCATTTGTCCTTTCCAACAGGAGAGCTGCCAGGAATGGGTGGCAGGGACAAGGACTGCCTTAGCAAGGGAGAATGTGCCAAATAAAGGTTGTTGGTACCCGAGCTCTACTGGAGTGACCATGCTGATGCATTCATTGCCTTTCTTTGCAGCCGAGGGGCTGGGAGAGACCCTTGCAGACCCATGGCCAAAGAGCAAATGGGCTGCAGGTACCTGGCCCTGCCAAGTAGTCATGACAGACCATGGGACTGAAAAAGTGGTGTGCTTCCCATGGTAAAGGGCTTGGGGTAAGGGGATGCTTTGTTGCATCCAAACACCACTCTGTAGGGCTAACCAGAGGGCTGTGGCTGGTCATGGGACTGTCAGGGCAGATTCAATCTGGCAAAAGCAAACAGTGGGTTTGATGCCACTTGAAGAGCTGCACTTTCATGGAGAAATATGCTTCATTGAAGACACTCCTTAGTTTAGTCTGTGGCTGACCCTCAGGAACCATTCAATGGCCTTCTTGGGAGAAAGCTTATTCATTTCAGGAAGATAGAAACTTTTGAAAGTGTGAAATTCCTTTTTTTGGCAAGGTAAACTACAGCATGAAGAAGAAAGCCATGACCTGGAAAGGTAAAAAAGCACTAGCAGCTGCATATGCAACTATGCCAGATCCTGTCAGACCCTGGGGTCTCCACTGGGACTGCTACTGCTGAGTATCATCTTCCTTAATGTCATAGCTAGTGTGATTGAGTGCAGCCTCAGCACATTTGCAGGTCTCTTGGGAGCAGGAGCCAGGCTGACAATTTTGGAGGTAGATCTTCACTCTGTGGACTTTATTACAGGACTTATCCAGGCACTGAGCAGACTGAACCTTTTTGGCTTCCTCTCCAGGTTCCCAGGCCTCCCAAAACATAATTTCCTGACTCTGCTGCTGTCTGGCAGCGTATCCACATTGGCTGATCTGTAGCCAGCAGTCTCTGGTGGCATTAGCAGCTGGCTTGACAGGACAGAGGTGACAGGGTTGTGAGGGCAGGCTTAGGTCTTTGAAGTCACATTGCATTTTGATTGCAAACTTAGGTGATTAATTGATTGTGTGTGTCATTTTTCTTGGGTTTTGTTTTGTTTTTTTTTTTAATTACCTGGGGCAGTATCTCTGTTGAGAGGCTGAGGGGAACAGGAGGTATTGGGCAGAGGTGAACTGACTCAGAACAGAAGCTCAGAAGAGAAGCAGCAGGACTTGGGAGGGACGTTTTCCTAAACCAGCCTTGCCTTGCAGAGAGGGCTTGGCAGGATCCACTGGCACTGGAGGGAGGTGGCTTCCTGTCCTTCCCTGCCCTTCCCCGTGTCCCGGGTGTGCGAGCCACCAGGGTGGGAAGAAGAAAGCCATGACCTGCAAAAGAGTACTAGCAGCAGCAGCTCCTCAGACCCACCTTTCCTAGCTGAGGAGACTTCAGTCAGACCAGATCACATTCATGAACCTCCATTAGCTATGTGGTCTTGTGTGCCAGTCACAGCTGGTTCACAATATTGGTGTGAAAGACTAACAGGTTTGTGTGCAGCTAAAATGATGGACGAGGTGTAAGGGCTGGCCATTTGCCTGCTGCTGCCAGTAAGTGCGCTTTGTGGAGTTTAAAAGTGTAAAGATGGTCAGATTTGTCAGTTTTCTAAATCTTTTTAGCATAGTGCATCCAAATTCCTCAAGTGGTATGTTGAAAATATGTATTAATCTTCAGCACAGAGGTGCAGCCAGAAGGAGCAAAAGAAAGCTAATGTATTTAGTGATATTTTCACTCTTGTACCTTGAGAAAGAGATCTGTAGGACTATAAGAGTATCATAGCCAGCTTTTGTTTGAAGATGCTGTGGATGATTTAAGGTAAGATAAAGGCCTGATGATTGACTGTCCTATTAAGTGCAAATGCTTCAGCATTGTAGTTTAAAACTCACAGCTGCTTCCACAAAACTGAAGCAGGGCTTTAAAATGAACTGTGTGTTTAGCCAGAAGCCCAAGGACTAACAGGCAGCTGGAATGCCTTGGGAAGGTACATCGCTCATCTTGGTGGAAGTTAGTGTAGCAAGCTGCTGGTGAAACTGGTTTTGCTTTGATCAGCATTTTGCTTCTGATGATCAGCTCCTTGCTAGGGAGCACAGAGTCTCTGTGGCCTATAAAATGTTGGACTGGCCTTTCAGAAAGGTGTGTGTTCACATATTATTCTGCTTTCGAAAAGGTAATGTATATGTATTGGCATGCTTACATTACTGGCTGTTGTCTTTTCATGTCAAGTGACTGAATTATTGCCTGAGAATGTTATGTGCTCACATAGACAGAAGCCTTGTGTGATGAAAATGCGAGCATTCTTTCAAGATATGGTTGCATTTAAAAAAAGTAGTCCATTACCAATAGAATGTGGAGCAGTAACCCTTGCTCCTAAACATAGACAGTAATCTAACCGGAGCTGTAAAAACTGACTTCTTGAACATTTGGTGAAACTTCTAATCCTTCTGGGGAAATAATTGTGTGTTAATTAAGAGACAGGATTCCACGAGGCTTATTAGCTGTCTAGCTGGATCTGAGAAGCAGAAGGTTGAGCAGAGTTTAACTAAAATTTAGAACTGTTAATTAGTCTGCTTTCTTTCTAGTCTCCTTTCTATTTTCCTGGTTTTGGTTTGTGTAGCGCACTTTGAATGACCCGTGAGAAGCTACTGCTACTGTGCTTCTGACATGATAGCTCCCAATTGTAAATGCTGTACTTTTCTAGCTGTGAAAGAATAAAGCTTTAAAAGAGCTTGGCTGCCCTTAGCTACAAGCTGGCTTGTTATGGATGAAGAAATGACAGAAAGTGGAAAAAGCAGGCTGGCTAATCTTGTTAAATTGGCTGAGTAATGTTGCATTCACAATATGTGAACTCCATGCTGCAAGGCACAGATGCTTTAATAAACTTTAGATGACCTGTCTTACTTTAGCACTCTTTATAGGGCTCAGAAAATATTTGATAGGTGCATGGAAACCTAAAAATGAAACCTCCTTCCTTACAGACCTCTGTTTTGGGAGTTAGGGATATGGGAATTTGTGAATGTGCGAAAGTTGTGCTTCCCTGATGTGTGCCTGGGCAAGATAAGGGAGGGAAAGGTAAAGCCTGAAACCTGTTTTATTAGGTTCAAAGTTTGCTAAATACCAATATGAACTGTTTCCTGATTTTTTTCACTTGGATATTTTGATTCGGTTTACTTTCTGGTGGGGTGGGGTGAGGGGGATGCCAGCATGCAGTGCAAAACTCACAGGGGTTCTGATATGGTGTGAGATGAACTGAACAAAACTCAACAGCCCCTGAGCTTCCCAGTGAAACAATTTTGAGCCTGATGAGTAGGAATAGTTTGAAGGTCTATTGTAAAGAACTTCTACTGGAATTCTATTTGTTAATTTGTTAATTAGACTTTTGCTTTGTTTCAGAGTCTGCTTTGTATTTCTTACAATGACTACCACTTCATACCATGGGTGAAGTTAAGCCCTTGTGCTAATTTGACTTCTGGCTTCAGTCCTCGTATATTTAATGCCTCACTTTTAGATGTTTTGTTGTTCTATTCATTGCAAAGTTTATATCTACCTTTCAGTTTGTAGTATGTCTCAACTAAGACATTCGCATCAATATAAATGAATTTGCCTAATACAGATGCACTGCAAAACAGAATATGCATCAGAATGACTAATCCTGGTAACATAAATGGGTTCATACCAGTAAAGTGTGCCTGTATTTTAGTTCAGAAGTTTGGTGGGTGGGAACCAAGTGGAAAAGGGCAGTAGGTATGATGTAGATAGCCCTTGAGTTATAAATGCAAAGAGTACTTGGATCTGTAAAAATATCTTAATCATGCAGATTAGAGTAGTTGTACTGTATGATTGCAGCTCTATTCTACCAAGAATTTGAGGGTGATGGAGTTTTTTCTCATCTCTTTAGTTATTTCCCCACTCCTTTAAAATACACGCTTGTTTTTTTATTAAGAGTCGTCTAAGAATATGTCTTAAATCCAAATTTGAGGAGTCCCTGAGACAATCAGGTGCCTGGTTATAAATGTGAAAGTATAGGTGTGCATTAGTGAGAATCCCAAAAGCTGTTACAGGGAGCACTTCTTGTGTGATTCTTTTGGCAGTGCTTGAATTCTTCCACTACTAAATCTTGGGGTTTTTTTCTTGTTTCTACAGTAGCTTTTCTGTCAAATACACTGCACAGCATTCTGATCTGACACCCACTTGGCAAGAGTTGCTTGCTTGGAACTATACTACATACCTCTTGTTTAATTCTGAAGTTAAAGGCTTGTTTTATAAAGGGTGATCCTCAGACATATGCAGATCAGTGTCTTAAATGGTATTGTTTTGGACAACTAATTCCTCTTAACTTTAACAGATGAAGAAAACTCCTTTTAAAAATATTAGGGGACTTATAAATCCAAGCATCTTTTAGTGACTGTGATTTGGAGAATATATCTGGATGGAACAAGTTCAGTTCTAAGGCACCTCACCTAATCCTGTTTGCTTTACAAACATCAGTGCATGTATGCCCTATTGCTTATTTTGCAGGATCTTTTTTTGCTAACTTCCTGTTCTGTTTTGCCCTCTGAAAAACTGACACTGAACTTTCTGACATTTATGATCTCAGGAGTTTCTCTGCATTGTTGGAATTGCCAGGATATAATTTATCCCCATTTCCCAGTTAGAGGCTCCTTTACACAAAGTGTAACTGCAGGCAAAGGTACTGCATTGTTTAGAACTGATGCAGTGAGAACAGCACGTTGGTAGGGGCAATGCACTCTGACAAAGGTAGTTTTAAGATTACAGCTGGGTCAACAAATAAAGCTAAAATAAATTTTAATGTTTTGAAGAAATACCTTTATAGTGGTAACAGCTGAGCTCTAGATCTTGGCAGGAAGCAGCTGGTTAGTTTAAAAGATGGAAACAAAAGATTATTTTAACACTGCAGGGGGAAAAAATGTTCTTTTTGAGAAAAATACTAATAACATGAATGCATGGTATTGTAAGGCACCATTTAGAATGTGTACAGTAACTTACCAGAATATAACAGGATAACACAACTACAGACCTGAATAAGGAGCAGGTCTATAAAATCTTTG